CCGACGTTTTTTTTTTTGCGACACTTTATAAATTGGATTTTCCAACATTAGTATTGATAACGTCGATTTGTCTTTTTTTTCTCTATAAAACAATTCTATTACAAGATATTCCAAAAATATACCGAACAAAAAATTAGTATTCCTGACTCCTGAAAGCTTTGATATTCTTTCGTGTTAGAATATCTCCAAAATTAGTTTTCAAATACCTTTGTACCTACAAGCATGTAAAAGACATTATCCGTAAGACACTATTGTTTTATAATTTAACAAATTTACAATGGTAAACAAAAATAATAACCATAAATTGCACAATATCCAACAGACATTTCTAAACTAACGAAGAGGTGACATAAAGTAAAGATAATATATGTCTTTACGAGGGTTCAATTCAATGTTATATTACAAAACATCCTCAATCTTTGATCATTCAATATATACCATACTACACTATTCCCTCTCCCTATATCCAATTTCTCTAAGGCAAGTTTCTCAAAAAACCAATCCCTATTAKTGATACATATACTTAAAGTATACTCATAATCACAAGCATTTCATAAAACATTATATATGGTAGTGTGTTTTAGTTAGTAATTTTGCATCAAAGACRAGATATCTTCAAATGTTTCTTCTTTATGTATCCAATTTCCACCTTTACACCTAGAGAGGGTGAGAGAGATTCATATGGCTGMCAATTTCAACATTTACTTCAAGACCTGTCTACCTCGAGACATTTACATCTTTTTATTTAAAAATTTCAACATGCACCAAACCTACATACTTTAAACTACATGCATGACACAAATATAAATACGGAGTCTAAACTAATTGGCTATCTTTGCTGCAGGATAGYCATACAATTATCCAACAATACTTTAAGCTAGACACAAATATAAATACGAAGTCTTAACTAATTGGCTACTTTGGTGCAGGATAGCCACACAATTGTCCCACTAGATTATAAACTATATGCATATTCAACTAAATACTATAAGTAGGTTATTCATATCTATTTATGGGCCCTGTTGACTACTAACGTAATTTTCAAACACGCGTCGAAAATTTGCTAATTCTGCACGCGTCTTAAGCTTGTTCTCCTGCATAATATCCATTCGAGCATTATTACTGGCTAATGCAGCTCTTGTCAGGGCTGATTCTTCTTCCAATGCTTGTGTTCGTTGAGAACAAAACTTGTGATGAGCCTCCTCTCTTGGGTTCTGGCATGACATCCCACCCCATGCCCATGACATATCCTGATCGATGTCCAAATATAGTTCTGGCCACTTGTGGTTCTGTGGGTGATTCTTCTTTCAACCTGACCAACTTGCCCTTYATTTATCGATTACGAACAATACATATCAAAATAATTAGAAAACATGTAAAGCTAAATTGACAAAATAAAACTTACATATGTTTCTACAGCAGCAGGGTTTATCCACCCCTTAGTCGGATGATATCTCGTCTCTTTGAATAGTTGTATTGGGCCAATTTCAACGCTCTGTTTGGCTTTCTGCATTTAGTATTAAGTACAAAAGTCATTTGAAATGTTAATAACAACGATACTTAATTTTCATGTGTAAACAAAATAGAAAAATACGAAAAATTTACCAATTCTTGTTATAAGCGAACAAATGATTTTGACCCAGCTTGATGGTTATAAGGGAGCTTTGACCTACTTTTCTTGTTAGTGTTTGACTTTTTCTAATGAAAACATGCATTAGTGACCTCATGAAGCTAACATATTAATTAAACGTGCAAGGATAAAAGTTAGTTACCTTCCACCTAGGAGTCTCCCATCTATCGCATAACTTAGCCCATTCCTCTAAACTCGCAATAYGTGGAGGTGGTTTTAGACGAGCGGTCGCAGGACTTGCTCGCTTCTTGTAGTAGGTATGTAGGTCCACCCTAAATTCTTTAAACGTAGTTTGTAGTGTCTTGTACACATATCTTTTAATGTAATGATCTAACCTGTTCACTTTTTGAACCAGTTCTGGAGCAATACAAGTGTTCAAAATAAATTTATCTTTGCACACTCCGACAAATTATAACGCAAGGGAAATTAATAACTTAYGACTACACGATCTCTAGCTTTTATTATGTCTTGTTTTGGTATCTACTTCCACGTTGCGTACTTCACGACGTCAAAATTTTCCCTGACGATCGAACCATAGCAATTGCCATACGCATTCCACATTCACATACAGGACTCCCATATTGAGGGTCAATCGTCATTTCAATTCTTCCTTTACGTGCTACCTCTGCATCTATCTCAACACATCGAGTGTAAGACTGTCCAATAGACCCACTAGTGGTCCCTAAAAAACAATTCAGTTTATTAAGAAACGTCACGGTTGGGGAGATTTTGCATTTCTTTGGAGAAACAAGGGGTTTTCAATTTTTATTCCCGACGTTTTGTATAAAACGTCGGGCAAGGGCTTACTTATCCTGATGTTGACTTAAAAAACGTTGGGAATTGGGGGTTTTGGTCAACATTTTATATTTCGTCGCGAAAAGTGTGTTTCTCCCGACGAATTTATTAACGTCGGCAAAAATACCGTCGATATAATCGTAAATTCTTGTAGTGAAACCCACCAATTTGGTCACATCATCCAAAATTGTAAAGCCTAATAATTAATAAATATTGAGTCAACTAATCCTCRCTCCAACTTCGAAAATATTTTAAACTATTTCTTAAATCTCAAGAAATTAAAGTATCTTTCATAAATATAAATCAAGTCCTAAGTCTTAASGATCTAATTTTTCCTTTTTTTTTCCCCATCAATTTAAGCATAGTTCAAAGGTATGTCTTCTCGACCAAAATGTCAATACTTTAAATTCCCACCTACGTGTTTTTTTATTTTCATTGATCTATGTCATTAACATTTTRATAATGTAGGATCTACAAAATAAATAAAATTGATAATAGTATATGGGAAATATAAATGAAGAAGTATTAGTATATCCTTACACGCCTACCTCATCTTAAAATATGAAATTTTATCGGTTAAAACATCTTTTTTTTTTCTTTTTTTAAGTATGAGGTTTAAATTCTCAACCGTTTCACAAGGCTTTTGCTTTTTTTTTTTTCCTTTAATATTAATATCGGGTAATTTTCTTTCTAAATAGTATGTATTAATAAACCACTGATTGATTTTTTTTCCAATGTGGAACAAAACCATTAACTAAGAAAATGCTCCATAAAATATTTGTGAGTATCTTGAGTCTTATTACAACTAACCCAAACATAAATATCTTTGTATTTGATTCTTTATTCTTATTTATCTTTGGTCAAAGATCAATATTTGGATTATTGTAGAGTCTAATGAATGAAAATAAGTTGAGAACTTCAAATAAGAATTTGAACCATAAAATCTTCCCCACTAACAATCAATGCATTAGGCAACTCATTATTTTCGACCAGAAAAGAAAAGTCTTTGTTTTTGCATTTTTTCCCTTAAATTGTCACATATTTAACGATGCTAAATATTTTCCCACTTAAAATCAAATTAATAGTGAAGACAAAATCTTATTCTCACCACCATTGAAAAATTGACAACTCATTATTTCTTAGAAAATACTTGCCTCCCAACTAGGACTCCCAACTAGGAGTGAGACCAGTTTTATCCTTACCCCATTTATTAAATCTTTGACAACTAAGAAAAAGAAAAAGTCACTTCTTTTGTATTCATCTATCTTAACTGTCAATCATTTAAGGATGGACGGACAAGATTGCTCCCACTCAAAACCTAACCATCTAATTAACTTCAAAACTACACAAAAACTCCGAAGTTTTCCAACCCTTAAAACCTAATAACCAATCTAGCTCCAACTAGATCTGTTGCAAATCCTTCACAAACTTGTCAACATAAGCCTCCATAAAACCAGGGTTTGCGAACATCTCCCTCCATTTGGCATGGTTTTGTCCAACCCCACTCCCATTTCCCTCCACCATCACATTCTCAATCCCTTCTCTCACACTTTGCCTTGTAAATCTCCCATCTTCCTCCATCTTC